GAACGTGAAGTATTTGACCTCGACTTCCTGAAAGCACAGAGCAGTATTTCCAGTTATCCATATTAGGCAGCAAACGCCTTCACTGCATTGGACCCAAGCGTGCGGTACCTTTGGTGCCCTATATGCCAGACGCAGAGAGTTCACTTCACTCCAAGCCTCTGGCGCATCTGTAATTATTCATAAAGGTGAAAATCCCTGTAAAAGACTACATTTGTGTCCATCAGGTGAAAAGAAAACTACCTTGAATGGGGAAAGAGGCTTCTTGAGTGTCTCCTAGCATTCGGGCGGGGTGTCTAACAAAGTGGTGGTTGAGCACAGCACTCTTCTTCGCTTGGTTGTCTGTGAACTAAAAAAAAAAAAAAAAAAAAAAAAAAACACCAAAAAAAATAGAGAAACTGTCACGTGGATTTGTTTTGTTTTTTTTAATTTAACTGGCCATGACGGACTTGTCTTGTTTCAGGATCGATGAGGTCAAAGAAAGCCCTGACTGTCGTGAGAACCAGCTCTTTACACCTGGGGGGGGGGAAAGAACAGTGTCCTTGACAGCTTCATAAAAAACAATTAACGACACAACAAATGTGTGTTTTTTTTTGTTTTTTTTTTACCACACTATGGATAGGTGGTCAGTGGAAACCCAGGTCCTCGGAACCGCAGTGGCCTTGGAAAGAAAAAACAAACACATGATAACAAGTGATAGGCAAAGTGGCAGAAAACACGTCCATTGGGATTTTATTTTTGCTAAAAATCACCTCAGTTAAGTGTAACGCAAGTATAAAAACTTTCACCAAATTATATTATTTGACACTGGAGCATTACAGAATTTAAATTGAAAAACATGCTCTACTGGATTTGGATCAGACAAACTGCGAACAGTCTTGACTTGTTTTTCCACAGGGAAGAACTACATTGATTTTGTCCTCAATACGTGAAACGTGCTCTATTGGGTTTGGATCAAGCAAATTCCTGTCGAGATTTTTTTAATGCCAAATTCCAAGGGAAATTTTCAAATAATAATAATAAAAAGAATGAAAAGCAAGGCCCGCAGAAGGTTTATGCTGTCAATGTTTCTCTAGATGTTAAACTTTGAACTTAATTATGAGCTGCAACATAGTAGGAGGTGAATTATTATTTTTTGTTTTGTTTTTTGTTTATTGAATCACTTTTAGCTGTACTTTAGTTAGCAACAATAATAGCGATGTCAAGATTTGACTCACCACCAATGACAATTTCGTTGGGTCTCCCGGAGAACAAGGTATGGAGATGAGACCAGAGCGCACTTGGTAATCGCGGTGCCCACCGCCAATTGACAGGACCGTGACGTTCCTCAGTTCATCTGCCTGCTGCACCCACTTTTTCCTCAGCGACAAATAGAAATCTGGCACCAAAAACAGAACAGGTCAGGACACAACGTTTGACTGAATTACATAATTGTACATATAGCATCGAGTTCCTCTCACCCCGCAGGTAATGGTCCAAGACCAGCACTGGGGCCAAGTGAGGGGTCGCCTGGGTAATGATAAGACGGACCAGACTGGCATTGAAGTTGGGCAACGTGAACAGCGCCCGGGCTACCAAACCGCCCATGGAGTGGCCCACAAGAACCACGCTCTGGGGCGGTGTCTTCAGGTGCTAGAAAAAAGGGCTGACTCTTAAAACCAGAGATGTGGACTTTCCTGAAAATTCCGGGGGAAAAAAATAATATATATATATGCATGTACACTATAGGTAAGATCGGGCCGCCCGACCCAAATTTCGGGTCGGGTCTAAAAATGTCAATCATTGTTCGGGTCGGGCTTCTCTCTCGCTGACTTTTTTTTTTTTGTTTGTTTCTCTCTCGCTGACTTTTTTTTTCGAGGCCGTTAATTGTTTTGGCCACGAGAGACCGTGGTTCGCAAAAAAACAGAGGTGGCGTCATCACAACACGTACTGTACTAAACTCTCGCAATGACAATTCAAAGAACTCCTTCATATCTTTATGATTCAGCCGTCATTGTTCTTTTTTGTCTCGCTGCTTCTCTCTCTTCAAGTGCCGCGCTCGATTCTTAAGGACGTATTGCTGCTGTGGTGAATGGCCCAATTTTCACGGCCTTAAATTTGACACTGGGCTAACAGTCGCGATAATTTTGGATCTTTGGGATAATTTGACAAAAACATCAAAATGTGCCTCTCAATGTATGTCAGGGGTGTGGGTCCTGTAACATGGATCAAGTGACAAGTGTTTAGCATTTGAGGCCCAACCTTGTAAAGTTTCAGGATGGCCTTGATGCTCTCGTGTAGGAAGAGCGTCTGCCGCCGTAAACTGCCGCCGTACAGGGCCACCAGTTCTTCGTTGAAGTCCACAGTGAACACATTGAAATGGAGACCGCCTTGTGCAGACTCCGCCTTCCTCAAGGCCACCGAACCCAGCGAACGCACTTGAACGGAGAGAAACGAACAAAACGTAAAGGAGACACACATACCGACAATCAGGCCAGACTTGAACATTTTCCCTCGCTCGAGATCAGAGGCCCGATTATTAGATGTGTCAAGGTAATTTTCGGTTAAGATGCTAAAAATCGGCATTTATGTAGCCTGCTTAACTTTGGGCAGAAAAAAAAGTTGTACCTGTTCACCGATTGTGTTTACCTTGCTTGTAGCTTCCTGAATTTCCATGCAGAAAGATCACAGGGGCCCCGAAGAGCTGAAGCTCACGGGTCTCCTGAGCGTACGCACCCTCCCCGTACAGATAGAGGCCGTACGCCGGGTACCGTCTGGCCACTCGGTGAGGCAACGGCACACGCTAAACACACCAACACACATGGATTCGGATTGTGTATTAAGATAAGATAACCTTTATTCGTCCTACACTGGGGAAATTTGCAGTCTACAGCAGCAAGATTGGGGCGGCGGGGAGATAAAGACCACAGTCACGTTCAAACTCATTTGGTTTCTCCCAATTAAGTTGCAGTTTTTCCACCACAGTACCACGACAAAACAGATTCTTCTGGGATAAACCCCTCATGTCCAACGTCAATTGAATCTTGTTTCCACAAATCAATACTATTGATCTTGAATTTTAAGTGTGAAAAACAGCCATCTCAGAAGTGTTGTTACCCTCCGCCTCATCTACCTTCTGCATTAGCCGGGCGGCATTTGTCGCCTCAAGATTCAACGTCTGGATGTTGTCTCGAGGCAATAACAAAAGGAAAATAGTTATAAACATTTCAGTTAGTCTTTTTGGTTAAAAATGGATCGCTGTAATGCTTCAGTGAGTGTTTCGATGGGTTTAAATGGGGATAAAGCACATAGGAGTGGTATTTTTAAGGGATAAATGGTCAAGATGTTATTTTTTAATACACTTTCTTCGTTGATTATCGCTCAGGGCGTGTGGTTCTGGATCACAACTCCCCCCATCAATTTAGTTGTTTAGCCATTTATTACCCAATGGCATTTTACTTGTCATACTGGTCACATGACCTGACAGAAAATGCAGAGGTAGTCCAGCCTCTTGCTGCGAAGATGCAGAAAATTCCCGCCTGACTTGCTTGGCAACTATTTGCATTGCTTCAGATTTACCAGGAAAAACCGAGTGCCCATCAGGCTAACAAGAAATGGACGCCTGAGGTCGCGGGTCGTAAAGTTCCTCTTCCGCTGACTTGGCAGCTCGGCTGGCGAACATCCATCATTTTCAATCGAGGGTCGGACAACAGAGTAACTGTAGAACATCAACGCCAAAGCGTTTATCCAGAACGGCCATTTTATATTTGTACTCCATTTGCACAAATACACATTTATTCTTATTTTCAGATGTTGTATTGCTAAAAAATCGGGTGCATTTGTTTAGGTCGAATCCAATCGAGAGACGCTTAACAAAACCAAGCCCTGACTTATTCAGTATTAAAATGAACTTCGACTTCCGTAAAATTCGGGTCGCGTAAGGAATCTCCGTTCCCTGTCCACTTCAATCAATGCTTAATAATTGGACAAGTCGTGGAATGGCGGCCCCATTAAATTGTCCACCGCAGCGCTTTCACTTTCACGTCATAGTTGCCTTACATTTGGTGACGGGTGATTAATCAACGTTAACGGTTGTGTTTAGTGGTCCGAAAAAGCACTCCGTTACCTACCCGAAATTCGGGGTATTGGAACATATAGGTCATACTGCATCGGTCCTCCTCAAAGCCAGTGAGCACCTCTCTCAGCCCGACAGCGACGAGCCCCAGAGCGAAGCCGTAAAAGAGCAGCGTCGCTAACTTCATTGTTCTTCCCCACTTTCTCGAACAGTCGCCCCTTGTCAGTGCCCGCGTGTCAGTCGTCATGTCCACTCGAGTAGACTCGACGCCGGGCTATCACAGAGAGTCGCCGGGTGAGCCCCCAGAAACCAACTGACAGCACCATGACGACGGAGAGCCACTGATACGTCACTTCCGCAATTTGACGGAAGTGATATATTGAACCCGCAGCGAAAAAAAACAAAAAAATGTGTTCCTTGTACTGTATATTAGAACGACCTAACGTCCTCTTTTACACGGACATGTCCACTTTTTTATCCTGTCCGGGTGTCCATACGAGTTTTATAAATTCATGAAAATGCCCGGTGTTTTTTACGGGACCAATTAACATTATGTTTAATTTGACTGGTTTTGTGGTACAAATGAGAGGCGGAATGCATTATATTCACTAAAGACCAGAATACATTAATATGTTTCCACACGAAAAAACAATTCTTTCATTAGATGATATGTCTCTCGGTAAATGTTAAATCGCAATAATATCGATACTACAATTTGCGACACGTACATCACATTTTGCATGTTTTCCCAATCGACCTGCTCTACCTTTAAATATACAGAATATAAATTTATTTGCAGGCTCACTGCTTTAGCAAAACTGGGACCGTTGTTTTGATAGCATGAGCCAGCTGTAGCTAATTTTTTTTCATTCATTCCAGGAATGAATGTATTTAGGCAAAGACCTCCAGTGCTGTTGGTGACGCTGTTGAGCGTTTTCACGCCTTTTGGCTAGTAAGCCGGTCAGCGGGTCAAAGTTGAACCCACAGCGAAAACATGGTGGAACACGCAAATATCCGCGTGGTTCACCGCGGCGGGAGTAAAATCAACTTTAGAGCGCCTGTTATCACAAGCGATTCCAAGTAAGTGCATGATGCTCCACGTTGGATCGCGGTCCGTGGGCGTGGGCGAGCAAGCGTCACTGTTGTCAAGTTTTACAAAGACGCCGGGACTAGCAATTAGCATTACAAATCCCTTTACAGCGCTCGGCTAAGGGTCACTGATACTTAAGCATCATAAAGATGCTTACAATATTTATATTCATTTTTAACAATTCAAAACTGCCCCTGTGCCTCTTAGGAACATTTCGGTGATATACTTTCGTACAATATACAAAATAACCCAAAGATCAAAAAGAATCAGTGGCTTGACAACATACTTCTTGTTATGGTGTAATGGATTTGTTTCAACGACGTTTCTGCCTCATGCAGTGCACCAGCCTTCATCCACGATTTTGTCAAAATACCCTAAGAATCACGACTTTTACTCCACTTGTTACACCGCTGCTTAGTCTCATGCAAGTGACATTGTATTCCCCTCAACCATTCAATTGCATCATCACTGGTCATCCGCGAAATACTGTGTTTGGTGTGAGTGCAGGTTCCTCCTGTGTGCTTCCGGAGAGTGTGTTAAAGTGTACAGCACGACCACAGAGGAGTGTGTTCATGAGCTGCGGGGACACACCGACCTGGTCACGGGTGTGCTGCTCAAGCCCTCCAACCACCTGCAGGTATATTCAGCTGTGACATATTAATATAGTTCTCAGGTATCTCATTAATGAATTACCTCTCAGTTAATGGTTGATGGTCGATTATTAATTCCGGAGAGTGTGTTAAAGTGTACAGCACGACCACAGAGGAGTGTGTTCATGAGCTGCGGGGACACACCGACCTGGTCACGGGTGTGCTGCTCAAGCCCTCCAACCACCTGCAGGTATATGTGACATGTTGATATAATTCTCAGGTATCTCATTAATGAATTACGTACCTCTCAGTTAGTGGTTGATGGTCGATTATTATTATTATTTTTTTAAGTGCAAGTTGAAACTTTTCAAATCTACGAATATGTGAAAAGAAGGTTCATGAGCTGCGGGGACACACCGACCTGGTCACGGGTGTGCTGCTCAAGCCCTCCAACCACCTGCAGGTATATTCAGCTGTGACATATTAATATAGTTCTCAGGTATCTCATTAATGAATTACCTCTCAGTTAATGGTTGATGGTCGATTATTAATTTCTTTTTTTTTTTTAGTGCAAGTTGAAACTTTTAAAATCTACGAATATGTGAAAAGAACCATTTCCATTGGATATGTGGATGACATTAAAGCAGAAAAGCTACTTTAAAAAGGATGAACTTTTCCGCAACATAGCAGGAGACTTGAGGTGTTTGTACACCGTATTGTTTATTATTCGTTACAGTTTTGTAACCGTGCTGTTGTTGCAGGTCTATTCTTGCTCTACAGATGGCACTGTCAAGCTTTGGGACTTTGCAGATGGTATCCTCATGAAGGTGATTTATTTATTTTTTTGTTAGTTTGTTTTGTCCATTTATTTGATGCGCACATTTAGACAAACTGGAAAACCCATGACCAAAATGGAACCAGAAGTCGTCTCTTTGGGCCATGAGGAAAATAATAGCCCCCGAAACCAGTTTCAGCCATCAACATGAAATTGGCCTGCCATGTCTACAACAGGATGCACAAAAAAGTCCCATGGACACATTGGAAAATTGGGTGTACTGTATACAAAAAAGTCTGATCGACCCATGACCAGAATTGAAGCTAACGTGCTGACACTCTTGACTAATTTTTGTTCTCTTCTAGTCTTACTTTGTTGGACAGCCAATTCATGCCATCTATGCCTCTGGACACCACGAAGGAGTTGTCTTCATTGTCGTCCCTGACAAAAGAACGGGTAGGCGATTCTTCAGATGCACAACATGTGACCCGCACCATCCTATTAAAAATAAATAAATCATGTATTTATCCTAAGCGTGCCAGCACTTGTCACTCACCAGTTTTTGTGACGTTTGTGACCCAGCGGCATCATGACTTACCACACACACACACAAACACACACACACACACACACACACACACACACACACACACACACACACACACACACACACACGCGCGTGCGT